TTATGTTAATCTGCAGTTAGTTATATGAATTTAAAAATGGAGCTTTAATAAGTTATAATTATGCACAATTTACTTGTAATCTTAAATTTTAAGTAATATGTATTAATAAACAATATTTCAGTATATATATATATATATATATATATATATATATACTCTCGTGTATTACACGGGGTAATTTGAAAAATTAAATTATGTCATGAACTTATCTTATAGATATGAATGATCATCGAACGATGCAACTTCAGACTTGTACTTTTGAAATGATTCTGACGAATAACGCTTCAGACTTGAATTTAGAAATGAAACTATGTCAATAATTAGTTAAAATGAAGTTAACTCTATAATAAAATTAAATTTAGAAATAAAACTATATTAGTAAATTGAATATAAACTTGGTGGTAAATTTAGAATGACTCTTCAGACTTGTACTCTTGAAATAACTCTTAAGTATAATTCTGAAAAATGACTTCAGATTTGGACTTGTACTCTTGAAATAATTCTGAAGTAAAACTCTTCAGATTTCAGAGCTCTGTATAATTAAGAATAGTCAACTTTTGTCGACGTCCACCACAAATCCGTCACTGAATTTAAAAATAAAATATAACTTTATTTCTACAACTTTTCCGACGGATTTGTAACGGATTTTTTTACTTATTTAATATTGTCACAAATCCGTCGGAAATCCGTCACAAAATTGGTCTAATTTATTCAAATAAATTAATTAGCGTTAATTAACTAAAATTTACGATGAATTTTAATTGATTTTTATATTTAATTATACTCCGTTGGAAATGTTTAAGAAAACTTTTTCTTATTCTTTTCCCTTCCAAAAAAATATGTTAAAAAAAAACCCGATGGATTGTAATTTTATAATAAAAAGTTATATTCCGTCGGAATTTATTTAAACACATATGTTTTATAAGAAAAAATAAAAAACTTTTTATAATAAATTTCGACGGAATATAATTTTTTATTATAAATATTATTATTAGTCGGAAATTTTGAACTTCTTTTAAATATATATTTTTGAAAGGAAAAAAATATAAATAAAACTTCTTTGAACATTACTGACTGATTTCAAACGAAATTTGCATTTAGTGGCGGGGGTTTTTCCGACAACAATATCCGTCGGATAGTTGTTTTTCCTACGGATTTTGCCGTCGGAAAAACCAAATTTTTAGTAGCGATCAATCAAATGGGTATAATTGAACTGTTAATGTAAATCGTGTCTAGATACGTTCAAATGAATCTAATTGTGTCTAGATACGTGTTTAGGCGGGAAAACAAGAAACTACCTCACTAGAAGATGACACGTGTCACCCAAGTTACTTATTTATTATAAGTATGGATATACTAGAAGAGTACTCGCGCAATGCAGCGAGACACATCTCGATTTCAATGTTCTATTTTATTATTTGTCTATGTCGATGTTGTGGTACGATTTTATGTGTTTTTAAGAAAGCAATAATAATTTTATTTTTTGAATAAAATATAAATTTGAAAAAATATCATAAAATTTTGAAAAAAAATATCAATGTTAATATCAAATCAACTATTTAAAAGTTCACATTTTTATGTAATTTCTTTAATTTGTTTTTAT